CTACGTGTTCTTTTTATTTAGGTGTCAACTAGAAGTTGAAGTAAAGCTGCAAGATTTGATAGTTCATGATCCCGAAGGCGAATGGGGTGCTGTCGCTCCTATACGGTAAAATAGTTATAGTTTTTTGTTCAACGTTTTACAATGCTTTTTTCTTCATATTCTAGTACCCTTTCGTTTGACATCGAATGTATGGGACGTCGAGGAGTTTTCCCCGATGCAAATGAGGACCCAGTTATCCAGATTGCTAATATGGTGAAGGTAAGTTTTCCCTCACTCGCCGTATTTTTCTCATCTCTTGGTTGGTATAACCGCTTTCTTCAGTCCAGGCATGAAGGGTGTCTTAAATGTGATAACACCTACAGTTCCTGGAAATATGATTCGATTTCCACTTTCATCAAGCTTAACGCAATTTTCACATCAAAGCTTCAAGCTCTTTCGGTCACTCAGAAACATCTTTTATCACTTGTTCTGAATGCAATTGAGCTATTTGATATGCCTGAACCTTATCCTCTGAGCCACTGCTCCGGATTACGGACCGTAATTTGAACGCAGGAGATAAAGTCCTCACCTTAAGGCATTTGGTTGACTAATTGATGTTACATCACTAAGTGATATCCATCTCAAGCACACACTTTAGAACTGCAGCTTTGACGTGGTAGGAGGTTCCTCTTTACGACTTCTCTACTCCATGAAATCCTGAAGCCGGAGAGTGATTTTTCACAACATTGGCCCATGACCTTGGCGTATTTCTGGTGATAACTGACCGGTAGATCACGTCCGCATTCCAACGAATGGTCGCTGCAACTTTTTCATCCTTGATTGGGTTTGGAGAATCAAAATGCTTCCACTGATTGGCTCACTATTGAGAATCGTGTTGTGTACAACTGCTTGTAACTATCGTATAGAATTGCATAAGATCCCTCCTAATGCTTTAAAAGGTGGGAAAGCTTTTTTGAATGAGCATGCCATGTCTACCAAAAGGGCCAAAAAAAGCATGAAATTTGCTAACCTAACATAATCCTATTTCTATACCACCAAGATGTTCCTGTGCGAATTGCAGTCCAACCTCCTATGTGGCAGCAAATTTCTTTTCTGAAGTTTTTTTCCTCCCGATGAATATAGATTTTGGCCGTTCTGCTTCAACAGTCATCGCTGAATTCCATGGCGTTTCTATCTCACTAGATCCTCAATTTCTTGGTGAATACGGTACTGTCTCTCATCTCTGACCGTTGAGGCTGTTCGGTGTCATGACCCCTTCCTGCAGTTGTGTTTGTCACAATTTTTGAAAATTGTCGTTTCCATAGCATGATAGATAACGTTGACCGCATGGTCATCCTACCTGCGCAGGTCGAAAAAATGGTTGCGAAGCCGGATATTCTTGTGTTTCCCAAACTGCTCATTTCCTTATGCTCAGCCTGAAGTTGAGACATTCAGTGTTGTTATCTCAAACCAGATACACATAACTGGCGTACTCAATTATGTTGTGTTCATTTGAGCGAATGGGCCCATCATGAAGCCATAATGGAATGTAGAACATACCATTCTCAACAGCTGTCATATTTACAACCTCACCGCTGCTTTATGAATTCTCGACAAGTCGTGTACTGTGACGAAGAGAGGGACGCAAAGTAACGAAGGTTATTCTTTTTCAAAATCTTATCTGAGCAAGAAGTATGGACTATTATAACGGGCCTGAGCGCATTCTAATCAGAGTTATGCATTAAAGACACAATTAACACAATGTCAAAATATGGGACATACGGATAGGATTGGAGAACGTGCGATTGGTTTCCCGCGTCCTATTTCTTCTCCCATTACCGTGGTTGAACTGGTTTCTAGTCGTAGCGGGTTTTCTGGTCTCCTTCTCGACCCCAGCGAATGCCACAAACAGGACGAAATCTTCATCGATAACTTGCGCATCCGGCGTCCCTGAATTCATATCCAACTAACAAAAAAAACGTTTTAGCAAGGCAGCGCTAGATTAATTCTGGTCGCTATAACCAGCCTTCCCATCTTTAATTCCCACTTTGCTACTACCAAGTCGATCTATACCATTCATAGGGGGTTTCGATGTGCCTATCCTACCTTTTAGCTATGTCACGCCCTAATTCACCCACTGCAGAAAACACGCTTTTTCTGGGAGCTAACGGGGCGGGCGGCGCGATAGGGGGGCGGGAGGGTGGGCGCGGGGGCGGGGGGGCAGAGAGAGCGGAGGGTGGGGGGGGAGGCTGGGGGACGGGCGAGGAGTGTCCCTTATAGTGCGATGTTATATATGGTTGCTTTTATATCATTTGCTTTTTTGTATCTACTTGTTTCTAGGTTGAAGGAGAGTCAGAGCCGTTTATTCGAAACTGTTTCGTGCTAGGCTCATGTGCTCCAATCATTGGCTCTGATATCATTCAATGTGAAAGTGAAAAAGATTTGCTGGAGAAGTAAGTTTGTTTTTGCTGCTGTGTGTCATCAAAGCAAATCTTTCCTAATTTTCGAATTAGAAACTCAACTATACAATAAGTAATTGCCCAATGGGTCAAGACAGTTGTTCACCTTTTTGAGAGAAAGGAGGTGCGCGAAAACTCAAGCTGGCGAGTGCGTCTGACCGCCAGTGCATGTATAGTAAGCGTTTGCACCCTGCGTGAAATCTAAATATTTCGCTGTTATACTGCATGTTATTCTTTTTTCCTACTACTCTTTCATCGCACTCGAAAGTTGAACAATGAGCGGGAACTTGAACTTTAACGATACTCAGAAAATTTCGCCGAAGTGAAGCATATTTGTATTCTGCGGGCCGCATCTTTTCTAGTTTGATGTATGTATGTGTAGGTATGGTCTAGGCGTATCACCTGTCCGTCACTGTTGATCTCACCTTTATTGCACGTAACTGTAGCTTAACAAGAGGACTACAAGAGAGTTCTTCACCCAAAAGGTGGAGCGCTGGCATGTTCCCGAGTTCATAGTGTATCATGTAGTTTGAGAAAGTTTTTCCTTTCGTTTGAAAAACTGAACAGCAGTAAATAGTGAGTGAGTGAAGTAGAAAACGTTTGCTGAATAAACGACATAATTTATGACATAAAACTTCCAGGATATTTCAAAATGTTTTGCAGGTGGTCGGAATTTGTGCGTGAAGTCGATCCAGATATACTCACTGGATATAATATTTTGAATTTCGATCTTCCGTATATTTTGGATCGAGCCAAGGTGTGCATGATACTTTATAGAACCTTTAATACGCTGACAACACATTGATACGTATGTCGTCACATTTTCATACGGGATGACCCGTCCTGCTCCATTTACTTCGCGTTTTTCCACATTTTTTGTTCGTCCGCTTTATTATGATATAGCGCATGTTCCCTTAATTTTTAAGTGGAAGATGAAAGATTCTCGGATATGCCACAACGGCTATTGTGAATGTGCTAGAAAGGCTTAACTTCTGATCATAGATCGGATTTAGGTGCTCAAGCTTCCTTCTGTAGCTATGCTGGGTCGTCAGCGGAACCGGGCCTCTGGTGTCCGTGATGCAGCTATTTCTTCTAAGCAGATGGGGAGCCGGGTCAACAAGAGCATAGACATTCATGGTCGGGTTATTTTTGATGTTCTTCAGGTAAACTGCTACTGTATCTAATCGAATGAACGAAATCGTTTCACTGTTTCTCGATCGATTTCTTTATTATCACGTCTACAGCGCCAGATATTGATCAGATGCCTAGTTACATAGTTCCACTTCTCTACTTTGACTGATCAATCTTACAGGTGGTCCTGCGAGATTATAAACTGCGTAGTTACACACTAAACAGTGTTTCTTATCACTTCTGTCCGAGCAGAAGGAGGATGTCGAGCATAGCATAATTCCAGATTTACAGCGAGGAGATGAGCACACACGTCGCAGGTTGATTTCATACAGGCTTTTCTCAAATTACTTAGCTACGCTCTCAACAACGAGCTTAAGGCTGGCCGTCTATTGTATGAAGGATGCTGCCTTGCCATTGAAACTGCTCGAAAAACTTTTATCAGTCATTAACTATATGGAAATGGCGAGAGTAACTGGTGTTCCACTGAATTATCTCCTCACGAGAGGGCAGCAAATTAAGGTAATTTGTTAACATACCATTCAAATTCAGCAAATGTGAGCTGTAGATAGCTTCAAATCGTTGTATTCACTCACAAAATTGTCTATCAAATGATGCTCCTTCTTTTGAAGGATTTGGTTCCCATTCTGTACAACTTGCATAGAGATGCAGCAACAGACACAAAAAGAAATTGTGAACTTGAAAGCTGTATGAAATATCTTCAGATCTTATCAATGATGCTCCGTAAGTGCAAGGCGAACAACTTTTTCCTCCCTGTTATTGAGGTTCAAGGTGGAGATTCTGAGGGGTAAGTTTGCGTTGAAAAAAGTACTTCCTCACTTTTCTGTTCCGTTTGGTTGAATCATTTGTTAACAACATTTGTGATCAGGTACGAGGGCGCGACTGTCATAGAGCCTTTACGTGGATTTTACAACGAACCAATTGCAACGCTCGATTTCGCATCGCTGTATCCGTCGATAATGATTGCTCACAATCTGTGCTATACAACACTTTTGAAGAAGCCGGAGGGAGAGGAAGGAAAGGTGCGAATTTCTATGCTTTATTTCTAAATTAAGAGCCTTCCCAATATTAGAGGAGTTGATACAGTAAACCGAACTGTTGTGGAAGTTTCATGCGGTGGTGAATAGTGTGATAAGCTCAAGTTTACTCCAATGCTGCCCCTCGTTTTTCTTGCCAGGAAAGTGTTCAGGCGCGGTGCGCGTCATTCGGAAATTTTTGCATTTCATAGGAGCGAACATGAAATACGGTTAATTTTTTGCGTTTCTCTTTGCTCACCAGAAATTGAGCGAGGATTTTTTTCCTGGCATCTTCCGAGGCCATTCAGGGAAGTGAACCTCATTTTTATGCTCCATGCATGTGCTCTCATAATGTGCAGAAAAAAATTGTCTAGAGGGAGTGCTACCCACTCTGAAGGACTTTTCTGATGAAATGTAGTGTGGGGACACGAAATCAGTGGGCTAATCGTACACTGAATTGGGTTGCTGTTTTTCTACAGAAATTCCCATCTTGGTTCTAGAAAACCCTGCCTAAGAGACCGTAAAATGGATAACGGCTGTAGGAGAGATGTAGTGCTGAGTGTGGCGGCTCGGGCTCAAATCAAAAATCCTGTAAACCCACTTAATACCTCAAAACTCGTATCTACATATGCTACGTATGTGCGCTTTTTATATCAAAGAATGCCTGCAATATTGTTGTTACTTATATAGGATTACATTCGAACACCTTCTGGGAATTTCTTTGTTACAAAGGAGCGTCGTCGTGGCCTTCTTCCTGTTATTTTGGAGGACCTTCTAGCTGCACGGTGAGTATTCACAGTAATAGATTCAGCTCCTTGTTTTGCTTTATACTTGACTGAAATTAGGAAGCGAGCGAAAAATGAGATGAAGCACGAGAAGGACGAGTTTCGTAAGATGGTGCTCAATGGTCGACAACTTGCTTTAAAGGTCGGATTAGTAAATTTGGTCGTTAGTGCGAGATTGCCAACTTGAAGACGGAATTCGCGGCAAGATTTTATGATGCACTTTAAAATGCATCTGATTTGAGCTGGCAGCAACGCTAGGCTATACCCATCCCTATCGAGCATCTCCACAATATTGAGCGAGTCGATATTATTGCATGGCGATCGTGAATTGTACCGGTTTCATAAGGTGAAACGAATGGATGGTGTTTTTTTTCTGGCCCCCTGTCTCACCTTGGGCATCGTTGCCACTAGATTGGGATATCGTTTGCAAAAGCAGATTAAGATTATTTCAACAGAATCGAGTCTTTCTGAAAAAACGTTTGGTATACGGTGAAGCAAAGTTGCAGTTCGAAAAGTTCGGAAAGTTGTTGAAAAGCTGCGCTGCGGTGCTGCCTGTTTTCGGCTCTCTCGTCTTCAAAAATTGGCCGACACCATGCTTAAGCTCGCTCAGAAATGCTTCGGATCTTCCTGCCCACGCCACGCGCGTATCACCATGGAGATGAAGATTCATGCAGTACTCTCTAACTAACTAGGTGGGTGGCCTGATCACGAATAATTGCAATGCATTTGCTTTGGCAATGGAGGTCAGTGGGCGCGTAGTTGGATCCAATTTAATTACGCAATTCTTCTGCTGCCATTTAAGTGCGAAAATTGGCTTTTACGCTTGGTTTACATGGCAGTTTAGTCTCCACATTAGGAGTAGTTATTTCGTGACCCTATCGATTTAAGTCGCTTATCATAGCATGGATTCGGTTGTTTTGAATATCTTCACCAAAAAAAAATCGAAAAAGCAAGAAGAAGGGAATCGATTTCTCAATCTCATGCATACTTCTTGCTGTTCCCAAATGGCGAGTTCCTCTACAGAAACATTCTCTTCTACGATGCTCTAAAGAACTCACATACTCTATCAGTTAGCTATTACAAGAGTGGAGATCACTCCCCCTGTACCTTTACTTCCGAAAATTTACATCTGATTATAAACCGCCTAGGCGGTACTTGGTGCTCTCCTTTTGAAGTGGTTTTTGTCTCATTAAAGCTTTAAATCTTTTTTTTTTCAGATTTCCGCGAACTCGGTTTATGGTTTCACTGGGGCAGTTGTTGGTAAACTACCTTGTCTGGAGATTTCTCAGTCAGTGACCGCCTTCGGGAGGCAAATGATTGACTTGACAAAAAGTGAGGTTGAGAAGCGGTACACAGCTGGAGCATTGGACGGAAAATGCCCTACAGACGCTCAGGTTAGATGCCTACGAATCACTTTCTTCAATTTCATATATGTTCAATCATTACTGAATACTTATCAAAAATGTTCAAGGTAATTTATGGAGACACTGATTCTGTGATGGTCAAGTTCGGGGTCAAAACTGTAGCTGAAGCTATGGAAATAGGTTTACATGCGGCAACGGAAGTAAGCAAAATATTTACCCCACCTATCAAGTTGGAGTTTGAAAAAGTGAGTGAACTGGAGATTTTTTTGACATTCAAACAAGGACTTTTCATCTCTATGTCTTTTTTCTAGGTTTACTTTCCATACTTACTCATTAACAAGAAGAGGTATGCCGGTCTTTATTTCACGAAGCCAGATAAGCACGATAAAATGGATTGTAAGGTAAGTTTTCCTTATACATTCGGTTTTGTTTCCAAACATAATAAGGTATGTATATGCTCTTGAATGTTATGATGGGTCAGTGTTTTCGTTTCGGAGCAAGCTTACTATGATTCGAATCAAAAACTGTAGTTCACTTTGAAAGGCTCTATCCTTCTCGATTTCTGAAATGTAACATTTTCAGGGACTCGAAACCGTGCGACGTGACAATTGTCCTTTAGTGGCGAAAGTGCTGAACACATGCTTAGAGAAACTCCTTATTGCACGAGATGCGACTTCAGCTTTAGAATTTGCGAAACGGGTCATATCAGATTTACTTTGTAATAAGATCGACATCTCGCTGCTAATCATCAGCAAAGAATTAACGAAGTCTGGAGACGTAAGTTTTACTGATATTGTCTAAGTTCCGCAATTCAGCTCCGTTATTAAGTTCAGCAACACGCTTTGGGTTAAATCCTTACCTGTGATGATAATTGGGAGATTCCGGGTTAGAGGTATTGAAACCATTCCAATCACTTCTGTTGTTTTCACGGTAATTTACAGTGGAGATGGTGATTCCAGGCGCATTCATTAGTAGTGGTAGCGCGTGATTTGTTTTGCGCGATCTGATCACTTTAATTCATTCACTTCCGTGGCAGCCCGTATGAGCTGCCAGTTCATCTACCAACCGTTTGTCGTAATTTTTTGCAATATTTTTGAAATAGATCATAACTAATGACTGGACATCACTCGTGCCAATTTACTTCGGTTTCATTTACTAGAATACCTACGATGTGAGAGCAGGCAGAACTCAGCTCATCTTCATCAAAAGCGAAAGGGCTTTGTCTTGAATGTGTTAACGATATTTTGATTCTCATTATACCTGGATCACACCGATATGACTCATTTTGCACGCATACGCGTCCCTTTTCTATATGATAATGTAGCTCTACCTGAATTGGACTGCAAAGAGAAGGTTCGCAGAATGGTCAGATATGTTTCGATTTAGGATAAGTTTTTGAGCCATGATCAACCGTGCTGTTGATCTGTGACGGAGGGAGCGGTCCTACCTGTGAGTTTCTACTGGGATCGTTTTGCTATATTCTGTGACCGTTGTACTGGTGAGATGGACTGTATTCGATTATGTGTTTGCAGGGTTTTTTTTCGGGTTGGGGGGGAAACTGGGGTAAAAAAAGACAGCTGGGTTGCCATTGAGTCGTGAAAAGGGTAGAAATTGACACTCTGACGAGGTTCTTCACCTACTCGAAAAATAATTGAAATGGGCGAAATCTGAGCTATTGACTTAGATAGTTATGTTATCCTTGACCACGCGCGGCTCGACGGCATTTTGGCTCGTGGCCGGCCTGGCGCGCCGGCGCAGGCGAAGAAAGAATCGGTTGCAAGGATAGGTTATTGCATTCCCTCATCGATCAATCTCTAGAAGTACAGGACCAACAAGCACATGTGGAATTGGCTGGCTAGGATGCGAAAACGGGATCCAGGATCAGCAGCCTCGGCTTGGTGATAGAGTTCCTTATGTTTTCAGTACGTCATTTCTTATTGTATTTGTTTTTTTTTTCGGCCAGTATTAAACGAACTGCTTTAATGAAAGAGTGCGTATATCAAAAACTCACTCTTGCAGTGATTAGAGCTACCTCCCTCAGACTTCTTCACTTAACGGCAAGGGTTCCGAATAGGTGTGTTCATGGCTCGCTCGACTATTCCTTAACGTGTCGGTCGGTGCTACTTCTCACAATTTCGCAAGCTTTCTGGAGGCTGCTTCTAAGATGGAACGATATGGAGGACAATTACTTGAGACCAACGGAGGAGCCTTTATTCGCTGTCGAAATGACAAAATTCATACTGATATCCCTTTCCTTCTTTCATCGGAAACGTTTGATCAAGAGATCGCTTTTGCCGCATGCACAAACCTAGCTTAGCTGTTTGCTTATTTTCTTATTTGTTGTTGGACTGCCGTTTGAGGGGCTTAAAAAGCAAGAAAAAAAGAAAGCAAGTAGGATATGACAGAACATGGCGGACACGTGAGGGATCACTTGCGGAGCTGAAAGGCCTAATTTGACTGAGCATGCACAGCAGTGGGCGGAGTGATACCGATCGAGCGGGACGTGCTAAAATTTCCCTTTTAAACGCCGAAATTTTATCTTGGTTATAAAGAGTCTTATAGGAGGAAATGGGCGCAAGTCGTAGCGGCAAGTGGCGCTGCTCAGCACGCGCACGATTTGGAAATCAAATCCCATGCTGTACATCGCCGGAGCTAATGGGACCAGGCATGTCTGGTAATTTGAAAAAGAAATGACGTATACATCAGCTGATCCCATCGTTTGTGGCCTGTGCAATGGCCCCCAGTCGTTGTACCGGCCACATCTTATGCAAAATGTCACTATGATTCCGAGGGGAAAAGAACGCGTGGCGCATCCCAAAAAGGGATCCATCAACGGCTTTCATGCTTTGTAAACAAATGTAGAGCCAGGCGGCCGGAGAGGGCCTGATAGGCGTCGACCTCATCTGCTAAAAAAAGCGAAGCAGGCAATGGGTGAAGAACCGAATTCAACTAGTCCATGCTCCCTGCAGGTCTGTGTTGTTCCTTATCTATCCTCGGTGTTACATTTCGCGACGAAGGACATGGCATCTGCCGTTCGTACCGTACCACGTTCAGGTCGACCAGTCAAAAAGAAGCGATTAGTTCTGGATTACATTTACTTTTTGTGTACTTGCTCTCTGGATCGTTATGGTTGCTACTTCTGCTCAAATTGGCGTATTACAGTTGCCTCAGCGAAGAACGTACCTGCCTACGAAAAAGCAGAGGACCCAACTTTCGTTCTGAAAAACAATATCCCCATCGATACAAAACACTACCTCACAAATCAATTGGCGAAACCTCTTGCAAGGATATTCGAGCCGATTTTGGGTGATCGTGCTGAACGAGTAGGTTCTTTCATCTTATGTTCATCCATAACATGACTACTACATTGGTGAAGTTGAAATAGCCACAGTCAAAAGTGTTAAAGATTTAGGTTTCCTCTATGATGATAAGCTTGATTTTTTGCCCCATTATAAAGAGTTATACAGGAAAGCATTTATTCGCACTTTTCACATCTTCAAGGCTCTTACTACTTGTGATACTAAAATTCTACTAAAAGCGTACAAAATGTATATCCGGCCAATTGTTGAATCGTCAACCATCATCTTCTCACCTCACAAAAAGAAAGATATTGCCTTGATTGAAAAGGTACAGAATAATTTCACTAGAAAAATGCTTATACGGCGTTGCGGTTTTGTGTACTCCAGAATTCCCAAAGCTGAATTCAGAAACAAGTTATTCAATCTTTCTAGTCTGGATCCAGACGTAAA